CTGTATATTCTATTCTATTCTATTCTATTCTATTCTGTTCTGTTCTGTTCTGTTCTATTCTATTCTATTCTATTCTATTCCTATTCCTATTCCTATTCNTCTGTACATGTGTATGATTTTGGTTTTAATACTAAAACTGCCTAAACTCAAAGAAGCAAAAAAAAATATTTTGTTCATTCACCAAGCATACATGACATAAGTAAATAAAATATGAGGATTTTTTTTTAAAAAAAATATGGAATGCTTCACGAATTTGCGTGTCATCCGTGTGCTGGGACCACGCTAATCTTCTCTGTATCATTCCAATTTTAGTATATGTGCTCCCTCGAATGTGCAGAAATGGATAAAATGACAATAGAACTAAAAGAAAGAGAAGAATCAGACTTTTGTAAAGTATGGAATGAAATGTATAAGTGGCTAGAAATAAGAAGCCGAAACAGAAAATAGGGAATATAAATATATGGTGATACAAATAATGAATATTATTGAAAGTGTTAATACAACGTTTGCTACATTAAAGGACAAGGTTAAAACAATAGGAAGGCAATGCAGAAGGGAGAATTATAAAAGCGAAGCAGGAAAGCTGATACAGAGAGCTGTAAAATTACTGTATATTTTTATGTTTGTTCTGTGTTTTGTTTTGTTTTCTTGTTGTGTCTTCTTTACTGTTTTTAAAGATTAAAACATTCAATAAAAATTATTTTTTTTAAAAAGAGATAGGAGAAATTTTTGCTATACATATTGAAGGTTGATGTAGAAGAAGTTTTGAGAACTCTTGGGGAATGAAATTCTCAAAGGACCATTTTTTTCCCTTCAAAAAACTATTTTAACACTCCAGGAAGCAGCTGGACAAGCAGTCAAGTTCACAGCTTGAACCACAGACTTTTATTTCAGTGATATTATGTATTTTGCGCCTCCTTCTGACGTCCCTTTGCAGATACAGAAGGCAGTTGTCTCTGGAGATGGCAAAGAACTCTTTATGGATTCTGCATAAACTGATTTACTGGCATCACACAATCCATTCCAGTCTATTCCCTGTTGACTGTCACACACAACTCCCATCTCCGTATTGTGAGCTCTATGAACCATTACCGATTCCTTGTAACTGCAAATGCAGAGGTTCTCTTCACCTTTAATTGAATAACAGAATATCTCTGGTGGCTTCTATTTTCCCTAATTTATATGTGTCTCCGTTTTAAAGTCTAAAACTATTCTACTGATCCATGGAGTATTCCAATGCTATGATGCAGATCGATCACCTGCTCCTCAGTTCAAAGTCTCAAATTGTCACCAGAAGTTGTGAATGCTCCAAGAGTTTTTAAGAAGATGTTGGATAACCATTTGTCTGAAGTGGTGTAGGGTTTCCTGCCTAAGCAGGGAGTTGGACTAGAAGACCTCCAAGGTCCCTATCAACTCTGTATATTTTCTTCTATTCTATTCTATTCTATTCTATTCTATTCTATTCTATTCTATTCTATTCTATTCTGTTCTGTTCTGTTCTAAAATATACTAAGGAAGATCTATAGGACATCAATCCATGTTTCTTCCTATAAATAATATTTAACTGTTTAAAAACTACCTAGTTTATTCCACAGCCTTGAGATTCCCTCTACCCCCACCAAAATTCAAACCAGTTTTAACATGGCTTCTTTGAAGATCAGATTTGAAGGTCCACAACCAGCTACGAAGTTTTATCTAGTGCTTCACATGGAACTTCCTGTGACTGAATCATTTTGGAAAGCTGCTCAGAGGAGGAGAAGGTTTTTGCTTAGCATCAGATTCACTTCCTCTCACTGTGCTTCTTGAACAGTAGTAGACTCCTGTGTCTTCAGTTTTGAGGCTGTTCATTTGCAGATAGAGCT